CATCTATAGGCTCTGAGCAATGCGGCATGGTGGAATCTGGAATAAAATAACCCCAACATATATTTTATTGATTCCTTTTCATTCAGGACAAAACACAATATCACAATGTGATATATGCAGTACAGTGCAGTGAGACATGTGCAGATCTGTACATCGGAGAAACAAAACAACTGCTTCACAAATGCATGGCACAGCATAGGAGAACAAACCCATCTGGACAAGATTCTGGAGTCCATTTTCAACACTTCCAAGAAGGTTCCACACCTATTTACACAGTGGTTAGAATGCAGTATTGCAGGCTAACTCACTGCTCACTGCCAGGAGTTCGATTCTGACTGGCTCAAGATTGACTCAGACTTCCATCTTTCCAAGGTCAGTAAAGTGAGGACTCAGGTTGTAAAAGCACTATGAAGCAGTATACAAGTCTATTGCTATTACTACTTCAGAGAAAGAAAGGCAGAAGGCACAATTGTATGTGATTTATTTTCCATTTTTGTTCCTCTATATCAGCGGCCCCCAATTTTTTGGGCACCAGGGGCCAGTTCCATGGAGAAAGGTTTTTCCGTGGACTGGAGGGGGCATAGCTTTGTGTGTCTCTTTGGAAAGTTTATGTTTCTTTTTCCATACATAGACAGTTGTTAAATTAGGAACACGGATATGCTTCCCCATTGATACTGTGTCATGGTTCCAATAGGTGAAACCCTTCAAAAGAACTTTGAGGCATTGTTTACCTTAAAGAATCTTTTTATTTGGGAAACAAAGTATCAGCACTACATAGTTGAACCCAAAACCTAAATTCCCTTCCCCCGATACAAAGTAACAAAGTGTAATTCCCACCCCCAATAAACTGTCATAAATCACATTCCCCAATTAGCTTAAAGCGCAGGCTTTCCCCTTAGCTCTACAGCCCGCCAAAAGGTTATCAACTTGTCTTTGGGTTCCCACCACAGCCTTATGTTATAGCTAGCTGAGTTTACATTTCAATCCCTACTTCTCTCTGCTGCACCTAATTTCTAAAGTAAGAAAAAGCATGTTAAAGGAATAGAGAAAATGGCTGCATTTTCATCAGTTGTCAAAGTGGGAACATCCAATGTTAGCAGTGTTGACACATTGCTTGTCAGAAGCAATGGTCACAAAAGGTGACCACGTGACCTTAGGACACTGCAACTGTCATAATATGAGTCAGTTGTCAAGCATCTGAATTTCGAACATGTGACCATGGGGATGCTGGAATGGTCGTAAGTGTGAATAAAGATCTGTTAAAGAATTTTAATTTCTCTGTTGGTGAAAACTAAATCAGAAGTTCTCACAGTTCTGCATTTAGCTGATTCAAAATAACCTCTTTATATTTATATCAAAATATTTACAATACCATACATTCTTCTTTACAGCAACATAGCTCAATGAAGACTTCTTACAGAGAGAGACAGAGACAAACCTGAGACTGAAAATTCAGCTTCTAACTCAATACCTTTTGCACACACTCAGTAGCACTTTCTTCACATTGGCTGACTGAGTTACCACATGACTCTTCCTGCTCATGAATATTCCAACAAGATCTAACCTGCATCTTCCTGGTGCTCGTCCAGCACCTTCACCATTACCCAGTCCTTTGCCCAGAGGCCCCAAGGGCAGAGAGTAAAGAAGATGGAGATATCTGAAACAGGCTCAGACAAACACCTCCCTAAATTACAGGAGCATAAGAAGTTGAAGGAGGGGAGGTACAACACAATCAGATTTGCAAGATTCCTATTTCTGTTCCTCTGTTGATGCAGCCTAGGACTGCACTGGGTTTTTCTTTTGACAGGTGCTGCACACTACTGCTTCATACTTGTCCAGTAGGACTTATAGATCCCTCAGTTATTACTGTTGAGCCAGGTACTACCTAGTCTATAATTGTGCATTTAGCTTTTCCTGCCTAAGTGCAGGAAACTGAACTGCATTTTGTTGGCCCAATGCTCAGGTCTGTCAAAATCCTTCTGGATCTTGACCCTATCTTCTAAAGCATTAGCTCTTGGTGTCATCTGCAAATTTGATGGGTTCCTCTTCTATCCCCTCATCTAGATCATTTATGAAGATGTTGAAGAGTACTGGGCTCAAGACCAAACCTTGAGATAACCCCATTGCATGGTTCCCTCCATGCAGATGTTGTTCAGGTGTAGTTTGTGAATCCATCTGGTAGTGGTACTGTCTGTCCCATATTGTTCTATCTTACCAAGAAGTCAGTTGTATCTACATTGCCAAATGTCTTGCTGAAGTCCACATATACTATCTCTAGCATGTTGCTGATCTCCTAATTTAGCTACTTTATCAACAAAGGAAATAAATTTTGTCTGGCATAATCTGTTTTTAACAAACCCATGCTTGCTTCAGTTACAGCTGCCCTCATTTTTATTTCTCCAGAAGCATTCTTGGGAACAGAAATTTGCTTTAATCAGTTGCAAAGTTTTCAATCTTTTTTTTAAAGGAATAAAACTGGGGGGGGCCACAGGGCTCAGAACCAAGAAAGGGTAAAAGCACTGTCAAATATCCCAAGTGCTATACTCAGGGCCAGCTTTCAGGCTGATTAACAACGTTCTTATGTTAAAGGAATTCATCCCCAGGTTTTCAAAACATTTGTGTCTACCCACTTTCTCCATCCAAGGGGGCATCTACTTTTATAGTGTCTGTTGGACTCAGTTCAGAATTGGGAGAATCATCAGGGGAATCGGACAGATCCTTTGAAATTTTATGATTTTCAGAAGCACAAGTGGCTACTTTAGACGTTGTAAAATTAAACAGAAACCATACTTTATAGTCCAGTTTGAAATGTCCTAATTTCGATCTCTCAAACTGGCAATGATGGAGAAGACTATCCCTGAATCTGAAAAGAATGCCAATCAAAACAGATCCAGTTTAGCCATTCTAATTTTTTTAAACTTTGCATAAAGAAATCTCATAATTTCAAAGAATTAAGAACTGGGGTAGACAGCAATGCAACAATAAATTAAGAGGCAGAAGCCTAACTGCAGCTCACATCATCAGAGGCACAGAGTGTCTGGACTGATGCATGATTTAAACTGAAATTTTAAATATTTAATAAGTGAAGGAAAACTGAGGAAGACGGATTGGAATGCAAAAGAGACAGACTACAGGTAGCTTAACAATTGTAGAGTGTTAAAAACCCACTGTATGTGTGGAGACCTCACCACTGTGCAAGAATTGAGAAAAGGGTTTTAGGTTACAACTTTATTATTAAATGTATTATCAAACTTATTCACTGCACATGTCAAAGTTTGAGGCCACTCTGGGTGTCTTGCCTTGTCCTAACATTTCCTTGTCAAAAGCTATTGATAAATGCTATTAAAAATGAAGGATTTTCCACTGTTGAATTTTTTTTTCTCACATTGCAACCACCAAGAGGGATACAACAAATACGTCAGTAATATGGTGCTACTATCACCCAGCAGCCATCAAAGGGAAATAAGCAGGCACCTCCAAGAAAATGAAATCACAGCAGGAGTTGCTAACAAACCTGGAGATATAATAATAATAATAATAATAATAATAATAATAATAATAATAAGAAGAAGAAGAAGAAGAAGAAGAAGAAGAAGAAGAAGAAAGAAGAAGAAGAAGAAGAAGAAGAAGAAGAAGAAGAAGAAGAAGAAGAAGAAGAAGAAGAAGAAGAAGAAGAAGAAGAAGAAGAAGAAGAAGAAGAAGGAGAAGAAAGACCGAATGAAGAACAGAATAGAGGCATGGGAAGACAAAGCACTACATGGCCAATACATTAAAAAAATAGCTGGGAAAGCAGATAATAACAAGACCTGGCAATGGCTAAGAGCAGGAAAATTGAAGAAAGAGACCGAGGGACTAATTCTGGCTGCACAAGACCAAGCCTTAAGGACAAATGCATATAAAGTCAAAATTGAGAAGACAGCAACAGACATAAGTGCCGCCTATGCAAAGAAGCTGAAGAAACAGTGGACCACCTGGTAAGCTGTTGCAAGAAGATTGCACAGACTGACTACAAGCAGCGGCATGACAAAGTAGCAACAATGGTGCATTGGAAGATCTGCAAAAAATATCATTTGCCTGTAAGCAAAAACTGGTGGGATCATAAAATAGAGAAAGTCATAGAAAATGATAAAATTAAACTGCTCTGGGACTTCAGAATTCAAACAGACAAGCACCTGCAACATAACACCCCAGACTTAACAATTGTCGATAAGAAAGACAAAAAAGTCTGGATAGTGGACGTGGCAGTGCCTGGAGACAGCAGAATAGAAGAGAAAGAACTGGAGAAGATAACAAAATACAAAGACCTACAAATAGAAATAGAAAGACTGTGGCAAAAGCAAGCAAGGGTAGTACCAATAGTGATAGGCTCCTTGGGTGCAATCCCAAAACAACTGGAGCACCACTTGAACACCATTGGCATTGACAAATTCGCTATTAGTCAATTGCAAAAGGCGGCCTTACTAGGAACTGCTTCCATCCTGCGACAATACCTGTAATATCATCAAACATCCACATCTGCCTATTCCAGGTCCTGGGTAAGGACTCGATAGGTAGACAAAATGCTAAATCCAGTCTGAACATCTGGCTGACTGTGCGATGATCCATAATAATAATAATAAAGTTGGAAGGGACCTCAGAGGTCATCTAGTCCAACCCCCTGCTCAGGCAGGAAACCCTATACCCTTTCAGACATACTTAAAAGAGACTTTTTAAATCTTCCCATCAGCAGAAAACTGCAGCCACCAGTTTCAAAGCAGGTAGCACCAGTGGACTTAAATTTGGGGAGGGAAGGAACATGTAGGCAGCAGCTGACTTGTTTCACCCTATTGCTTCTCTGTTTCCATGCCTTGGAGGAAAACAAACAGCCCTAAGTTGCTCCCAGCCTCTCAGAATAACAGTTGGAAGGGACCTTGAAGGTCGTCTTGTCCAACACACTGCACATGCAGGACACCCAGAAAAAAAAAATCTCTTTTCACTTCTCCAACTTGTCCTCAACTCACCTTCCAGTTGCTGCTCTTCCCTTGGAAGAACATCAAAGCCACTCTGCACGCCCCATTCTTCCCATGACTGATCCAGAAGTTCCTCTCTGCTTTTCCTCTCCTATTCCCCCCCCCCATTCTTTCTAGCAATGCAGCACTTGACGTTTTTTAACTCCTTTTAGCTCCACCGCAGATACCGCTATTGTATTGTTGGCTTTCCAGTCACAGATGCTGCTTATCTGCCATCTCGCGATAGAAGGTCAAAAAACAGACTTGTCCCATCTCTATATATAAGAAGTTCGGGTCTTTTGCTGGAGGACTGGCGGTGCCCCTGTCGCCCCCTCCCCGCAGCGGCTTCCACGAAAGGGTTAAACGCAGAGAGATTTTCTCTTCCGCCTAGAGAGGAGGCAGGAAAGGCGGGAGGGGGGGGAAGGACTGGGAGCTCAGTTTCAGGCTTCTCCCGCCTCCCCTTCCTGGTCTCCCGATGCCTCTTCAACGAGGGCTGCCGGAGATTCCCCTCGCGGGGAGGGGCGCGCAAGAGGCGCCAGGTGGGCAAGGGCGCTGCGAGAGGGGGGGGGACAGGAGGGGGAGGGGGGAATCCCCGGGGCGGGAAGGGGAGGAGGGATTCCTCGGGGGAGGGAGGGAGGGGGAGCGAGGTGGGTTTCCCCCAGTTGCGCCCCCTCCCCGTCCGAGTCTCCCCCTTTCCTTGCAAGCTTTTCTACTCGGTGGGATCCGATGTGCACCCCCTTCTCCTCCTCTTTGGTTGCTGCTTCCGCGAACGGTTCTCCGACCCCCTTCAAATCCTTCCCCCGAGCTCCCTGCAGCCCAACGTCTTGGTGCATCCCGGCTCCCAGCGTGGGGCCTGCTGGTATTTTTCGGAAGGTTGGGCACCGCCGTTCCCACGTTCCCCTGTAGCTGCTGGGAAGGATCAGCCTCCCAGTGTCTGGAGGGGAGGAAGAGGATCTGGGCTCAGAGAGATCGTGGCTAAAGGGGGATCCCTCCCGTGCTAGAAGGAGGCCAGGGGCGTCTGGAAGGCGGGTGACGGAGACCCAAGAGGCGTCCAGGTGGGCTTGGCCAATGGGCTGCCCTGTCCAGGTGGGCTTGCTTTGCGATGCAGCACCTGAATCTGCCTCCCTCACATGCCCAGATTCCCTCTCTGGTGACTGATGCCTCCCTGTTTCTCTCTGCCCATGTAAGTGAACAGCACTATATGCAGAGGCTTTCAATTTTAATTTTAAGTTCTTTTATGAGTTGCATAATCTACACTGAAAAAAGAAGCTCTTCACTGATTTTTACAAACAGCTTTTTAAAGAGATCAAGGGGGTTCTGTGATATATATAGAAATATAAAAGAATTTCCGGTCAAGTGACAGGCCTGTGAGCTCTAATAACTGACTGCAGACCATTTTGGGGAACACAGGTATGTGCACAGCAGCCAGGTTAGTTGGCCTCCAGAGTGGCTTCAGTTTCCTTCCAATTTCCTGTCTGTATTAGGCATGGGATTTCTCTGAGTCTCTTCACCTTCACTTTTGTAGCTTTCACTTTCTGTAAAGATTTACAAAAGTATTTTAACATAATCTAAATCTTGGGGCACTTTTAGAACCTATTAATGTCAGCCTGGGCACATGGATGATGCTATTTTGACTGGGCTTTTTTAAAGGGGAAGGCAGTGTCCATTTTCCCCAGGCAATTCAAAAGGAAAAATCACTGTCTGGATTGACCATTTTTAATACAAAACAGTTTTGTAAGTTTAATGCCAAGGGCATTGCCCACACATGCTCCCACATATTAAATGTTCCTTGATGTATGATACAGGGAAAAGAAAGTATGAACATCCATATGAACATTCTGTCCCCATCGCTCTCTGTTTTAAAAAGGTCCCTAACCTTGACTCTGGCTCATCAGCAGTAACTGTGAGAGGGATCTAGGCCTTCCAGTGCACAACCACCCTAAGTGTGAGCTAGCAGTGTGCTGCAGCTTCATAAAAAGCCAGTGTAGTCCTACTCTGCATCAACAGAGGGATGGTACAAAGATCACAGGTGCTTTTTCAAGAGACCACTGCCCTTCCTTTGTTTTTGCTTGAAGACAGTTCTGAAGAAAGTTCTTGGATGAGAAGTGGAACATCTTCAAGGAAAAACAAAGAAAGTCCAGTGGCCTCTTGAAAAAACACCTTGGGGCAACCATGACCTGGATGACTGAGAATCTGCATAGACATGACATGAAGGACTAGTACTGCATATACTGACTGAAAAGACTACACAGAATACTGCATCCAGTTTTGGTCATCATGATACAGAAAAGATATTGAGACTCTAGAAGGAGTTCAGAGAAGAGCAACAAAGATGATTAGGGGATGGGAAGGTAAAACTTATAAAAGAACAGTTGCAGGAACTGGATATGTCTAATCCAGGGTAGGCAACCTTGGCTCTTTTATGACTCGTGGACTTCAACTCCCAGAATTCCTGAGCCAGCCATGCTGAGGGGAAAGGGAGAGGTTTCCAAGCTGAGCCATGCTGGGAGTTCTGGGAGCTGAAGTCCACGAGTCATAAAAGAGCCAAGGTTGCCTACCCTGGTCTAATCTAACATGGAGAAGGACTGAGGGTGACATGGTAGCAGTGCTTCAATATTATTTGGAGGCTGACAAAGTAAAGAGGGGGTCAACTTATTTTCTAAAGCATCTGAGATCAGGAGAAGTAACAGATGGAGACAGATGGAGGGATCCAACCTAGTGTCACTATTTCTCTGTTTCGCTTGGCTCAGTTACTTGATAGCATGTATGTAATCAGTGCCTTAGGGTGGTAGATATGGGATAAGCATGTTTTTCCGCCTCCTGTCAGGAGATGGCGACCAGGAAGGCAATATCTCTGCCTAGAAAGCCAGCAATACACTAGCCCAGGGGTTCTCAACCTTGGCAACTTTAAGACTGGTGGACTTCAACTCCCAGAATTCCTCAGCCAGCTTTGCTGGCTGAGGAATTCTGGGAATTGAAGTCCACCAGTCTTAAAGTTGCCAAGGTTGAGAACCCCTGCACTAGCCCCACTGTGGTTTAGCTTAAAGGAGTTAAAACCATCGAGTACTTTGTTGCTAGAAAGGATAGGTGGAGATAGAACCTTGTAGGGACTTCCTCCTCCGGCTCACCCATGGGAGGGGAGTGATGTGCAGGGTGGCTTTTGTGCTCTTCCCAGGGTTGAAGCAGCAGCTTGAAGGTGAGTTGAGGGCAGGTCGGAGGAGAAGCCGGGAGCAAGCGGGGCTGTTCGGTTCGCTGCACATTTAGGATAGTCGCAGCATCCTACGCTTGCGATCCCCTTTTGTGACCTTCCCAGCTAGCTTCCCATAAGCAAAATCCGTGGGGATGCTGGCAAGAAGTTGCAAGTCACAGTCATGCGAAATTGCCTTTAACAACCCTCATGCAGAGGACCAGGTGTAGGTTGGCACTGCCATCATGCTTAATGATTGGGCTGCTTAGTGACACAGATGTAGTCCCAAATGCAGTCAATAAGTGAGGACTACTTGAATTGGGATGTCATCAGAATAGTTGTGGACAGTGTTTTCTGCCCTTACTTGGAGCTGAGGACATTTTTCTGGCTGAAAACAAATAGATTTTCCACATATATGCATCACTATAAGCAGTGCTTTTTTTCTAAAAAATAAAAAAAAGGTGCTGGAACTCACACACATCATGCAACTTGCCTTGCCTACCCTACAAGGTTCCATCCAAAAAAGGTGCCGGAACTCCATTCTGTGCGTTCTATGAGAAAAAAAGCCCTGACTATAGGTGTGTGTATTTGTACTTCTGTAGAATTGTATAATCTATCCACTTCCAGATATAATTGATGATAACCCTTTACAGTGCTAAGAATTTGTGATTGACACAAGTCAATAATAGAATTTCATGATTGAATAGGTATTTGAACTTGGATCTCTGTAATCTTCTATCAATCATAATTAATGTCATTCTAGCATTGTGGCATGTTTGCTTTTCAATGTAATGTATACTTTTTTTTTCTTTTTCTCACATCTTCTGCAATCATTCTATACATAAATTTACACTTATCTTTGAATCTTATAGACAAAGAGGATGGCAATAAGAGCACACCGGACAACTGAGAATAACAAGCAACATTGAAAAGGAAAGAAAATCAAGCCCAAAATAAAAATATTTTCCATTTCCTTCAGAAAGCCACCCAATTCTTCTCCTTGAAGAAGTGAAACAAAGGAGAGAAAATCAACAACAGTTTTCAAGCTGTAATGAGCAATTTATGCAGAACTCAAGGATATAATATATGAAAAGATCAAAGGAGATTATTTTTCCATTCAGAAAAAGAGGGAAATATCTGGAAATCAGTGGGGAGGATAAGGTCAATTGGAAACAAACAGAAGGCAGACAGTAATGCAGGCCTCGCCCTGTGAGGAAGAAAACAGCTTTGATTAAAAGCTTCAATAAACAAGAGATCACCATTTTTTTTTTGATCACCTTAAGAGTATCAAAGATGGAAAAGCTGCAAAGATGTGCTTATTTAGGGGAAACCACAGATTTCAAATCAGAGCTGATTATGGATGAGAGTATCCATATTGGAGAAAACCCATACAAATTATCCGAATGTGGCGAAAGTTTTGATCAGAACAGCTCCCTTGTGATTGATGGAAGGACCCACCCAGGACAAAAGTCCTACACGTTTTCCCAATGTGATAAAAGCTTTGGCATGCATGGTGACTTGGTAATACATCAAAGGACTCACATCAGGGAGAAACTGTATAACTGTCCAGATTGTGGGAAGAGTTTCATTGGAAATTCCCACCTCATGAGACACCTGAGGACTCACACAGGAGAGAAACCCTTTGAATGTCCTGATTGTGGGAAAAGTTTCAGTCAGAATTCTACCCTGGTGAAACACCAGAGGACTCACACAGGAGAGAAACTCTTTGACTGTCCTGATTGTGGGAAAAGTTTCAGTCAGAATTTCAACCTGGTGATACACCAGAGGACTCACACAGGAGAGAAACCCTTTGAATGTCCTGATTGTGGGAAAAGTTTCAGTCAGAATTCCAACCTGGTGATACACCAGAGGACTCACACAGGAGAGAAATTATATGACTGTCCTGATTGTGGGAAAAGTTTCATTACAAATTCCCATCTGGTGATACACC